ACATAACATGGTACGTTTCTCTTTCAGTACCTTTATTTTTAGGTTACCATGGCCTCTGTAACAATATTCATAAGCATGGTTTTAAAGGCCCATTGGAGAATTTAAAAAGCTTTTCTTACGCACCACCCCTCATTCCTTTGCTACCCCTTGTACTGGGTGAACGTTTGCTTCTTACCATGCGGGTTTTGGCACCATCCCATCCCAAACCTGCCCCACATCTGAGTCCATTCATAGGCCTCTTTGGAAAAGGCAAAACTATGAGGACAAAGAACAGACCAGGAGCTGACTATAGAGGAATATTAGGGAATCTAGCGGGGGGTAAAGGAGCTGTTCCGTATCTTGAGGGTAGTGGCTACAGGGTACCACGCCTTTGTCAAAACTTACAGAACTATGCCATAAAAATGAGAAATGGTAGCACGGTAAGCCTCCATCTCAACCTTGACTCAAAGAAGGCAGTATGTAGACTTTTCCAGCATGAAAGAGCCCCTCAGGGAAAAGCCCGATCGCCTGAAGCACCCAGGAGCCAGTGACCTTTGTCCCTGTCTCTGGGTAGAAAGCAGGCACCCTGGGGACAAAGTCTTGGATGACTGCTGACCATGTCATTCACCATCGGGGGACCTGAGCCGGTCTCGATGCCCCTCTCTGGGACTCAGATTCTCTGCCTGTGAAGGGGGATCAAAGTAAAACTACAGAGCCGGGTGCACTTTAAACGGAAGGGTATGGAGTGTGAGCTGTATCATCTTGAGCTGTTTTAAAAAGGGGTGCAAGTAAAAATACATGAAGGAGGAAATCACAGGATCTGCCCTGCAGTTCTGAGACAAAGCCAAGGATCACACTTAGTGCTGGGATGGAGCACAGCCCGCAGGGGTGCCGCTTAGTGAATGTCCTCTCCCTTCACTTCTGAACTTGGCCTTGGCTGCCTCCAGCAGGGTTCACTCCTCCTCTGCGAACCCGGTGCTCAGGTCAGACCTCGGTCCTATTCCTCAGAGCTGTTATTGCTAGAGCCATTTTGGGGTCACAGAGGGAGAGGATGGCCTTGGAAATGTAGTCCAGACTACTGGGCAGAAAACATGGGAAGGAAATGGCACAGAGGATTCTGTCCCCAAATCCAGAGAGTGTTGGCCTCCTGGGCTGCACAGCCCACTGTCACCAAGCTGGAAAACTTTCTGGGGACGTCACTTATCCAGGGCTGCACCTGTCTCTGAGCTCACCTGGAAGGCAACTGGAGAAAAGAACTGGGATGCAGCTGTCAACAAGGAGACAGCACACGCATCCCCATGGTTCCCCTGCCCTCTGCTAGTGGGAGAGGGATGTAAGCAGCGGTGGCAGGCCATGAGTGTTCCTGACTCACGCTTAGTTTCAGAAACTTACTCAGTCTCCATCCTCCCCGCTCCTGGCAACTATCCCGGCACTGGAGGGTGGGGGCGAAGGGGTCTGTGGCTGAGGGCCCCAAGGGTGGCTGTTCTTTTTAAATAAGCCTCTGGGGGGCATTGCATGCTGCCCTGTTGCCAGCATGCAGGTGAAATTGATCTGAGGGCCTCAACTGCTCATCAGTGAAAACGACTGTGAGGAGAGATTAGCTTTTCATTTTGCTTCACCTATGGATCTAGGTTTGGGGAGCTGGTCAATATTCCATTTGCTAGGGCCTGCCTTCTGATCTTGGAGCATGGCATCACACAGGCCAAGCCTGCAGCCGAGCTGGATCCCTGCAACCCAGCTAGGACTGAGCTGTGTGGGCGGCAGGGATGTGGATGCAGTCCCCCACTACCCAGCTCCCTGACGAGTCTCTGCATATACGAGTTTAAAAACTCAAGTTCTGTCTCCAAGACATTGAAATCACATAGAATGTGCTCCGCATCTTAAAACCCTTGGATCTGTGGAGTGGGAGGGAGTGGCCTTGCCCGGCCGTGAGGGTCCCGCTGGGAGTTATCAGTGCAACAGGCTGAAAAGCCTTTGCGTTCATTCCTAGGCCACACCTGGGTCTCAGGACTGCGTGGTGGGTGCCCTGTGAAGGTTCAGTACCACAGTGCACTCCCTGCACTCTGCTGGCATCTACCAAGGCTTCTGTCTCCTGCCTCTTGGTTTGAAGTGGGTCTCCAAGACTTCGACTATCCACAAGTGACCCAGAAATGGCTCTGGCAGTACCAAGTGTTCCCTGAAGGCAGCTCTGGGTCTGGTTCTCTTTGGATCCCAACACCACAAGGCACCTGATTTAATTATTTTGGGAGGATTAAAGAAGCTACCGCTTGTTAAGTCTTGAGCTGAAGGAATAACACAAATTCTCATACTATCCTCATGCCGGCCATGTGAAGGGGACGCTGTAATTACCATTGTAACTTTAAAGGTGTGGAAACTACAGGAGGGAGGGTAAATCCAATAGCTAATGAGGAGCAGAGGCTGGTCTTGAATGTGCCATCTGAGCCCAGAGTGCATGACTAGACGCAAATACCTCCAATCTGAGCCCCCAAGAAGCTGCAGTTAGGCGGGGGCTCACATTGGTATGTGACAAGGCAGCTGTTGGCTGCTTTATGAGACGTACGGATGGACAGATAGCAAGGTCTGAACCATAAATAGAAATGGTCCGGAAGGTGGAGGCCATGACAGGCATGCCCAGAAAAGCAAGGGGTACATGGGACTCCCAGGGAAGAACCCAGAAGACTCGGGCAGTGATACAGAACAGGGATGACACAGGACAGACACTGTGACTTTTGGGAAATGAACTCAAAACACTGAGGACACGATCTGCCACCAGATGAATGCAACTCCCTTTGGTAAGGCCAGCATTGTTTCAATAACACTGTGACATTGCTGCTAGGTTTCTGATATTTTTAAGCTTCAGGCCATTCTTCAGCAAGCTCTGGCTGTGTAGCTGGTCCGCTACAAGCACAAGTTAAATAGTGAAAAGGGAAGCGGTAAGAATGTAGAGAAATCTTTTTTTTTTTTTTTTTTTTAAGAGTGATACAGGCTCATTAAAAGAACAGAACTGAAACAGCTTGTCTACCTACCCTGTGTGGATAACCACCATTAGGACAGTAGGATATAGTTTTCTAGTTATTTTTTTTGTGTGTTTGTCATAGACTTCCAAAATGAAAGGAAAGCTGCTTTGAAAGTTGGTATTAAGTCAAAGCATTCTGGTCTTGGAATGCCACAGATAATGGTGAAAATGGCCTGGAACAGGGTAAGGATGAAGGTGCTAAGAGGCTCACTGAGTGACCGTGTGGCTGGGCATCACTATTTCTTGTCACCATGGGAGACAAGAAGCTCAAGAAGTAACTGGCCCCTCACCCCTGGCCAATGTTGGAGAAGCAGAATGTGGCTTACAGGGGTACAGGGCCATGTCCAAGGTCACGTGGTAGTAGTCCCCAACCTTTTTGGCACCAGGGACCAGTTTTATAGGAGACAATTTTTCCACCAACTGGGGGAGGAGGGTGGTGTTGAGATGATTCAAGTGCATTACATTTACTCTACATTCTATTACTACGTTGCAATAAAAAACAATTACACAACTCACCCTAAGGTAGAATCACTGGGAGCCCTGAGCTTGTTTTCCTGCAACTAGACCATTCCTTCTGGTGCTGATGGAAGACAGTGACAGATCATCAGGCATTAGATTCTCATAAGAAGTGTGCAGTCTAGATCACTCACATGCATAGCTCATAACAGGGTTTGCACAGTACATGAATCTAATGCTGCTGCTGATCTGACAGGAGGTAGCACTCGGGCAGTAATGCGAACGATGGGGAGTGGCTGTAGATACAGACCAAGCTTTGCTCACCCACAGTGTGGCCCAGTTCCTAACAGGCTGTGGTCCGTACAAGTCCAGGGGTTGGACACCTCTGGCCTACGTGACAGAGCACGGACCCAAGCCCCATCTGATGACTGCTCATCCTGGGCTAAGTGGCAGAGGACAGAGCAGTAGACCTCAGGACTTCTGGGAAGACCCTGCAGTTACTTGAGGCAGTAACCTGCCTCAAGGAAGTCTTTTCTCCCTTTCCCCCATATTCGTGTATCCTTCTGTATCAACCATCTATGAGATCAGACAAGACAATGCATTCAGAGCCCCAAGCCAATTGGGCACATTCTCTGCTAATGGGCTGCCTAGGTCCCATGGTGGATCTTGGCGACTGCAGACCTGTCCCTCGGGAGCCCCATCAGGTGGATACACCACTCCAGATGTATGTGTGAAGATCACCATTAGGGACAAAGACAAGCCTGAGCCAGGGCACCTTGGGGTGAGGCTGCTACAGCCCCCAGTAGAAAGATACTGAGGTCAGAACCGGGATGGGGGTGGATTCAGATCCCAGGCACAATGACCAGTAGGATGGGAGGACAGAGAATGGACTTCTTTTGAGCTTGGGGCCTGGATGGTGGGAGCAGCTGGGGCACAGACTGACAGGTGTATGGATCCACCGGGGTCAGGGTACTGAGAGGCGTGGCACTGTGGGACGTGAGCATCCCCGCGGTAAGCAATGCTCATTAAAAACTAAAGATGCAATGTTTCAAGGATGGCTTAAATTCATACAACAGTCTACCAGTGCTTTCACAGACATCAGCTTTCACCATTTCAAGGCTAAAAGATCACTCTGGGTAAAATTCTGATCATCGCCAACAACTGTGGTAATGAGGGCCTTTGTTGGTAGCCCCTGGTCACCTAAAGTGAGTATCTTGGGTTTCAGAGCTCACTTGGGCTGACATTTCAGAGGGCCTCGTATATCATCTAGTAGGCTGGGCTGAAGTGGGGTTGCAGGATGGTTCTGCTGGTATAAACTGTGCTGACTAAAAACTAAAAGATGCATTACACCTAATTTTCCAAGGATGGTAAAGATTCTCCCTGAATCCCCCCAAACCTAATTTTCTGAGGATGGAAAGGATTCTCCCTGAATCCTGCTCCTCTTGTATTCTCAGTCCCCCTTGTCCCCTCTTTGCATGGGACGCTCCGAGCACATCATCTCTCTGTTGTAATCCTGGCCACCTCCCTCACAGTGCTCTCCCCACCACAGCACCCAGCCCAACAAACTCTGGCCAGAAACCTAAGTAGAAGACCCTCAGGAAGACAGACGAGGCAAGCAGTGAATGAAGAACACAGGCAGCCTGCCCTGAGGACTTGAGGGAGTCCTGCAGTTCCTTGCACGGCCCCTCTTCCGCTTTCTGAAATGGCTGTGGTCACCTGTCGCACGGATGATGTTCCGGTCAACAACAGACTGCATGTATCATGATGATTCCGTAAGATCCTGATGGAGCTGAAAAGTGTACCACACTACTGTGTCTGAGGTGACGCTGGTGTCAACAGGCCTGCGGCACTGCCAGTCACTGTAAAGATTTTAGGGCTGGGCGCAGTGGCTCAGACCTGTAATCCCAGCACTTTTAGAGGCCAAGGAGGGCGGATCATTTGAGGTTGGGAGTTCAACATCAGCCTGGCCAACATGGTGAGGAAGAGTGATACAGTCCATTGATATGACGCCCAAGCGATTTTTTTGTGTTTTCAGTAGAGACATCAGCCTGTCGATCAGCCCATCTATCAATCAGCCTGTCTACCAGCCCGTCTCTACTGAAAATACAAAAATTGCTTGGGCGTGGTGGTGTGTTCGTGTACTCCCAGCTCCTTGGGAGGCTGAGGCAGAAGAACCACTTGAACTCAGGTTTCAGTGAGCTAAGACTGTGTCAGTGCACTCCAGCCTGGGTGACAGAGCCAGACTCCACCTCAAAAAATTAAAGGCAGAAAAAAACTCAAGAGTAGGGATATTGTATCTAAGTGTTGTTATGAAAGTCAAGAAGTTTAAAAACTTTATAAAGTACAAAACTTATACACAAAGGGGATTATTAAAGGAAAATCTCTTTTAAAGTCAGGATTGCCTAGGGGTCCCATATCTGTAAAGTCCACAGGAGTGCACATGGCCTCCTGGGCCTTCACCTTCCCTTACCGCTCAGCCAGAACCACTTCCAGTCCTGCAGCTTCAGCCACAGGCAGGGCCCCACACAGGTGGGCCACTTTCCACTTCTTACCACGTTTCAAGATCCACAAATACCCCTGGGTTACAGGAATGTGCTGTACAGGTTTGTGTAGGCGCACTGTGTGACATTCACACACTACGACAATCACCTAATGACCCATCTCCCAGAATGTATCCCGTCATTAGATGACGTGTGACTGTATTTGGCACAGCTGGTCTGGTGCATCCCAATGGACAAAACCAAATTGGAATCACTCAAGCCCAATGCCACCTAATTAAACTACAACTTTAAGCAGGAAGGCCCCCACGCAGGCAATGCAGTGTACCTGAGACAGCAGAAGGAGGAGGTCCCCTCTGTTTAACTCTTAACAAAAAAAAAAAGTCACCTGAGGTAACCTGCTGTCTAACCGATCCATTATTTTTCCCTCGTCTTCCCTTCCTTGCCCCCACCTCTCAAAACCTACTGTTCTGCCACTGCTCAGTGGGAACTCTCATCCTATTTTGTACAATGGAGGCTGCCTCAATTCGTGAATCACAAAAGCCAGTGGAATCTGTATCTAGATTTACTGTAATTCTGTCTTCTGCCACTATTCACTCAGAAGGCATCAGCGTACAGCCTCCCACTCCTGCTCCTGGAGAATGCCCACCCCTTTATTGGGCCATTCCCCAGTGGCTTCCTCCAGGACTCGGCTCTGCAACTCCATAGCTCCCCTCTCCCATGGCCTCACCTCTGACGGTGCCCTCTCTCTCTGCCTCCCAGCCCCTCTGGCCAGCACTGAGTCTTCATCCTCTATCTCAGGAGAACTTCTTAACAGACTGGTAGGCAACAACTGACTTCCTCGCCTCACCCAACCCCGTGACTCCACTTTTAAACTCTCAGGAAAGTCACCAATGACCACTGTGTTGTCAAAGCCCTGGGTGGCGCTGGGTGCAGTGGCTCACACCTGTAATGCCAGCACGTTGGGAGGCCGAGGCAGGCGAATCACTTGAGCTCAGGAGACCAGCCTGGCCAACACGGTGAAACCCTGTCTCTACTAAAAATCCAAAAATTAACTGGGTGTGGTGGTAGTGCCTGTAAACTCAGCTATTCAGGAGGCTGAGGAAGAAGAATCACTTAAATCTGGGAGGCGGAGGTTGCACTGGGCCGAGATGACGCCACTGAACTCCAGCCTGGGTGACAAGAACAAAACTCCATCTCAAAGAAAAAAAAGCCAACAGTGGCTTGTTCTAGTTGTATTTTCTCGACCAGTCAGCATCTCCACCCTCTTGTGACATTCCTCCCATCTCTCTGAGGACTGCTTTGCCACTAAATCATGGAGGGTCCCGGGTCTTTGCTGCCTGCACTGCTGCTGTGTTCTCGCCCAGTCAGATGGCTTTCTGTAGATCCAAAATGGCAAAGCTTCCCAATTTCACATGTTGGCCCAGAGTTCCAGAGTCCATGTATCCAGTGCCAATTTTGGTGTTTCCATGAATGTCTAGTAAGTATCCCTACCTTGAACATGGCCAAAACATAAATTCTGGCCAGGTGCAGTGACTCATGCCTCTAATCCCAGCATTTGGGGAGGCTGAGGCAGATGATGGCTTGAGCCCAAAGGAGTTTGAGGCCAGCCTGGGTTGCAGAGTGAGACTCCATTGCTACAAAAAAATACAAAAATTAGATGTCGTGGCATGTGCCTGTAGTCCAGCTACTCAGGAAGCCAAGGTGGGAGGGCTGCTTGAGCCTGGGAGGCAGAGGCTGTAGTGAGCCAAGATCACACCACTACACTCCAGGCTGGACAACAGATCGAGACCCTATGTCAGAAAAAGAAAAAAAACGAAATTCTGTTTTTTCCCCATCAAACTTGTGTTCCTCCTCTGGGCTTCCATACTCAAGAAATGGGACAGCTGCCGCCTCCACTGTTCAGACCAGCAGTCTGGGGAGCACCTTGCCTTCTCCTTTTCTTCCCATCACATACCAAATCCATCAATGCCCAGTGGCCTCTGGCTTCTGCCTCCAGACACATGTTCACTGCTACCTCCACTACATCTCCGCTGCGACTCCTAAACCCACACATCTCCCTTCTCACCTAGACCGGCAGAGCTCACTCCCAAGCAGTCTCCTGGCTTTCTCTACATTCATCCAAAGGTCTGTCATTCCCTCCTCAGACAAAACCCTCCCATGGCTTCCCTCTGCGTTCAGAATGAAATGCAAATGCTTTTGCCAGGGCTGCAATTCCATGGTCACTTCCTCCAGATACAAGGACTGCTGGCAATGCCCTAACTCCTCCTTGGATGATCAGCCTTCATCCAAAAGTCCCCTCTAGTCACACACCACTGCATTAGTCCCTTGGAGTTTCTTCACAGGATCTGTCACCATCTAGTGTCGTCTTGCCCCCCATATCCCCAGTGCCTAGAATTATGTCCGGTGCACTCAACCCGGTGAGAGAAATCACAAGTGGACTGCTCCCCACTAGCCTCACAGCACCTTGCATTTGCCAGCTTAGACAGGGAGATGGGGTATAACACCAGGACACCAAACTCGCAATCAGAAAGCCCTGGGGTAGATTTCAGACTTGGCAACATCCGGGATGTGTCGTGATGACAAAGCTATTTAACCTCTCCAAGGATGACTTTCAGTTACTAGGAGTGATAATCCATACTCACCTCTCTCAATGGAAGTGGGGATTATGTTACTTTTACAAGTCCATTAATAACAAAAGTGTCCTCTAAGCCTCAGATAATGCTATGGTGACACGGCATGAGTCCAGAGGACAAATGAGCAAAAATAAAATACATTTGAAAATTGATACCACACAGGTGGCGTTACAAGTCGGTGTGATGTAAACACACCTGATACCACATGCAAAAATATATAAGGGTCAAGACGGAGAGCTGTGACTCCCTGCAATGAAAGACGGCCTGGGAGATGGCAGCTAGGGAAATGCCCCGAGTGTGGGAAGGGGATCCCAAAGAGCAACCAGAGGGGCCGGCAGCCCAGCAGACACACAAGGAAAGGCAGCGCCTGCCTCATGGGAGAAAGGCTGACCAATGTGTTTTTCAGTAATTCCAGCAACATCGGTGACCCTTCCACATGCCAAGTAGTACCAGGGCTACAAGAGGAACAAAGCGGACAGCGTCCCTGCTCTCTGGGAGGTCATACCCTGGGTCTGGACACCCTCATCTCTTACTCATCTGCTGCCTACAGTCCAGGCTCCATGCCTCACCTGAGCGACCCAGCTGATACCAGGCCAGATCTCATCACTCCTGCACCAAGCCTTTCTAGGAGAATAAGCCTTCCTATACTCTGAGATCCTCCCTGATCTGCCCTTTCACCTTTCCTCTTCCTTCCCTCCTCCCCACCACTCCAGCCACCCTCAAGGTTCCTGGGTGGCACCAGGCAGGAACACTCCTGTACCCCGTTGCAAGAAAGAAAGGCACTACAGCTGGATGACCCCCTCGTCGCCTCTCACTTTCTCCAGAGGCCCTCCTTGCTGCGCTCCCCGCCCCATCCACCTCCCCTGCACCGACTGTTCTGCATGACATGCTGAGGTATCTGTCTTCTTCCCCAGCACCCTGCCACCTACGGAGACAGAGTGGAACAGAGCAGGTGCTCAATACAAATGTCGGGAATAAATAAGTGTATTCTAAGGGGGGAGAGCGCACATTTCAATACACTTACCTTTATGGGTAACAGGAAAATGCAAACTGAAAAACACTCAAAGGCGGCTCTTACCAGGCACTGGGAGGTTCTAAGGAATGGCGCTCACGCGAAATAAACCGGTATAACCTCAGAAAACCGACGCGTGTGTGTGTGCGTGTGTGTGTGTCCGTCCTCCTCTAACTTGGGAGCTCCATGTCTCGGTGTCTCCTATACAAAATTGTTGAACAAGTTCACAAAGACGCGTGTGAGGATGTTGAGGACAGCGTCCTTCTGAGGAGGAAGCATGGAAATAGCCCCATGCCCATGCGTGGGACCCATGGACCTGGGATAGCAGGGGAGCAGAAGCAGCACGACACACACCCACTGCAGGGACACAGAGACATCCGCAGGACCTGAGTAAGTGAAAAGCTTCAGAACAAGACAGATCTGGTCCCATTTCAGTTAAAACTGAAACCACACATGAAGCAAGTACCCATGTGTATACAGACACGCCAACGGGCAGAGACGAGGACGCAGCCAAGGACGACGTTCATGTTCCACTCTGTACACGCTCATCGTTAAAACAGCTTTAGCCACAACTTTTCCACACACTGCTCATTTGATTAAGAACAAAGCATCCTGGCTGGGCACGGTGGCTCAGACCTGTAATACCAGCGCTTTGGGAGGCCAAGGTAGGAGGACCACTTGAGGTCAGAAGTTTGAGACCAGCCTGGGCAACGTGGCAAAACCCCGTCTCTACCAAAACTACAAAAATTAGCTGGGCGTGGCAGTGCACACCTGTAATCCCAGCTATTTGGAAGGCTGAGGCAGGAGAATCCCTTGAATCCTGGGAGGCAAAGGTTTCAGTGAGCCAAGCTCATGCCACTGCACTCCAGCCTGGGTGAAAGGGTGAGACTCCATCTCAAAAACAAAAAAGAACAAAGCATCCTGCAAAAGAGCCCACAACTGCTGCTTAGAGATCCCCCTAGAACACTCTGCTGGGCCCCTCTTCCTGCGCTGTGATGGCAGGTGTGCACCAGCACTGCCTGCTCTAAGCAGTTGGGGCTAGTCTGAGCTGGTCTACACCAGGCTCAGCAGGTTGGAATGAGTCAGACCCGGTTTTCAGCAACAGAACTACTTAAAAGTTCAACCAGTGAGCACATCTCGCAAGCTCTGAGCAGACGGGCTTGCCTTCTCTACGTCTCCTCCAGCAATTTCCCAGGGTTGGCTGGCTACTCATTTCTCACCTTCCTCCATAGGCCTTCACGGGTGGCCCGAGTGGTCTCGTACAATCTCCCCCACGAATTTCCAACTCCCCATCTGCTAGCACGGCCTCTGGAAATAACTGCAGCTGTGCACTGACCCCAGAGCTGTGAGCCAGATGCCCAATACCTCCCCAGCCTGCAAACCCCAGGCCAAGCCTGACCTACACGGAAGTCAGTGTTGCGGGAGTTACCATCTCTACTTAGTGTCCACAGCCTCTTAAAGCTGGTCATATCCCACTCTCCTGATTTCAGCCCCTCACATGCTGCCTGCTGTCCTCGCCTGTCCTGTCCCTGTGTCCACACCTGCCCATGCCCTGCCATCTGCCACTTGCTATACCCCTCCTGTGGCACGTCAGGGCCTCACACTGCTGGCTGCTCCCTCCTCAGGATGACTCAAATCTCAGAGCTGAGAGGAATTCACATCTTAGCTCAGAAGTGACTTCACTGGAGATACCATGTCTCTTACCAGTCTCCCAGTCTACACCTCCCTCACCCCCAACCCTTGTAAATGCCCTTCATGGCCTGTGTCTCCCACTGCAGTCATTCCATTTGTTTGGTGAGAGCCAACTTGAAAGCAATTTGGTTTTTGCTCTTTCAGTCACCCCCATGAGAATGTAAACTCCATGAGGGCAGCAAGTTGGCTGGCCTGTGTGCTGGTGCCGGAGACATCATTGACGAATGAAGGCCTATTTTTGAGCAAGATTCCTGAGGACTGATGGTTGGTGATATGATGGACCGAGGTATTTCACTCCAGCACTTGAGCCAGAAAATCAACCATGTCCTCACCCCTGCTCTGAGCCAGGCACCGTCCTCGCTGTCTTACAGGTATTGGCCCATCAAACCCTCACAAAAGCCAGGAGGGAAGTTCCGTTATCATCTCCTCTTCCAGATGAGGAAACTGATACACAGAAGCTAATTGGTCCAGGCTTAGAAGCCCCTAGGAGGCAGAGCTGGGGTGTGGTGATGGATGTCGGACTCCAGGGCCCTCCCCTGCCTCATCCGCCGCTGTCTCCCTTTCTGCAGAATCTGTAGATTAAGGTGTACTGGAATGAAGCCTCAGACACTTCCGGATCATCCATGGTTGCACTCTCACTGTGATAGCACAGCTGAGACAGTGGCCCAAAAACCCTTCCCATCTGAGCCCAGACTCACCACCATTTCTACAGACATGGACCAGCAGGAGCTGCTATCACTGTGCTGGGCACAGCCTGGCTGAGTGGTCTCACTGGATCCTCATGGCAGCTCAGTATGGTTGGGTATAGCGATCTCCACCTTACAGCAGACAGAGGCTCAGAATCATCATCTACCTGGTCTGTATCCCCAGCCACTAAGTGGCAGAACCAAGATGGGGAAGCCAAAGTTTGACTCTGACAACCATGTGCTATGGAAGCAGGCCCTGGTTATGCAATGAAGCATCCAGGAAATGATTATTTCTTGTCAGCTGCTCCCTTCCAGAAGTTCCCAGTGGAAGGAGGGTGGCACTTGCATCCTATCGCATGGAAATGGAAACGAAAGCTCAGAGAAAACATTTGGGCCTGAGTCTCACAAGAGGAGGCCGGGCTGATGCCTCAGACTCAGATCTGACTCTGGCACCAGAATTTGCTCCATCCAGCCTTTTGAAAGCAGGGCTTCTCAACTTTGGATGCACCTTAGAGTCACCTGAGGAACTTAAAAAAAAAAAACGGATGCTCAGGCCCAAGCTCCAGAGATTACTGTTGCATTAACTAGGCAGGTTAACGCACCTGGCATGCTTTTAAAAATACAAAACCTGTCCTTTGTATTTTTAAAAGCATGCCGGGTGATCCCATGTGCAAGCTGTGGGTGAGACCCGACTTGAAAGCAGTCTTATGGCTGGGGAAATTCTGCAAATGTAAAGACTAGCCCCCAAAAGAATGATTTCCCCCTATGTCTGAGGTGACAGGTGGCTTTTTGGTGGGTTGAGAAGCTGGTTACATTCAATGGTGTCTGAACCTCCTGGAGAAGTAATTTCTCGACTGTCCTCACAAGATGGCAGATCTGAGCATACTCTGTCGCTGAAGGCTCCCTGTGGGGAAGTCTGCGCGATGGTACTGAGGATGTCCTAAGACTTTCCTGGCAGCTATGGACCACTGTTTCATCATTTCAGACCAGCTATCATTCAAGGAAGGAGGATCACCTGATGATGAAAACGGCAGGCTTCCCTCGCCTGGATGGCACCTCTTTTAGGAGCCTGTCACTCGGCTGAAGAAGAAATATTTAGATGAAGGACACCTTTCCACTGTGCCCTAAGCTGTTCTACCTTTATGATTCAACTAAAAATGTATTTCCGCTTTTGAAAAAACCCAGCAATTCTGAGCTTCCCTCACAGGTTTCCTCCCAGAAAGAGTCTATCATGAAAACACCACTCAAAACTCTTCCATGACAGGGTGAAGAAAATAAAGCAAAACATATTCTTTTCTCCGTCCTATCTCAGCTCTTCAGCCTCAGTATGCTTTTTAAACCATTTTAGTTTGTCACCTTTTTTGAATAGGTAACACAGAAAGGAGTGCTGAGTAAAAGCATGAGGAGGTGAATGCATGGAAATGTGAGTCTCCCCATCTCAGTCCGCCTGGAAGCCATGGTTGTTTTTTAATGTATCTTTCTAGAGGTATCCATTACATATAGAAGCATGTAATGCACAGGTGTGAGTATCCTCATATTTGCTATTTCTTTTTTTGGGGAGACCGAGTCTCGTGCTGTTGCCCAGGGTGGAGTGCATTGGCACAATCTTGGCCCACTGCAACCTCCACCTCCCGAGTTCAAGCGATTCTCATGCCTCAGCCTCCTGAGTAGCTGGGACACCAGGCGTGCAGCACCACGCATGGCTCATATTTGTATTTTAGTAGAGATGGGGATCACCACATTGGCCAGGCTGGTCTCAAACTCCTGACCTCAGGTGATTCGCCTCTTCATGCCTAAACCACTGTGCCTGGCCCATATTTACTATTTCTACAACTAGAAAGGTATTATGCGTGTTCCTATTCCGTGCTTTTTCCTCTTAGTGATTATATCACGGAGATTTTTTCCGTATCACTACACGTGGTATAGAAGGTATTCCCTTCCACGTGGGTGTCTATCAGTCTCAGTATTCTAGCCCATAGGTTGGCAAACTTCCTGTAACAGGTGAGACTGTAAACATTTAAGGCTCCAGGGAGCCATTCGGTCTCTGTTACAACTCTTCAACTGTGCCCTTATAGCAAGAAAGATGCTATAGATGAAGTGTGAATGAATGGGTGTGTTCCAATAAAACTTTATTTACAAAAACAGGCGGAGGGTAGGATTTGGCCTGTGGGCTGTAATTGGCTGACCTCTGTTCTAGTCTGAACAATCTCTGGTTGTTTAACCACAGTCATATGCCCACACAGGGCCAAAGAGGCAAGGCATGCCAGCACAGGGCACAGAAACCATGATGGGCCTTGGCTGCAAATGGAAATCACCTCATAATTACCAACAGATCTCAAAGTAAATGCTGGAGCAGACTTTGTATGGGGACTGTCCTGGGCCTCCTGAGCGGCATCTGGAATAGCAAGATGCCAGGCCTTGGGACTGCCTCAAGCTAGCTTCAGCAGCTGTGCTTTCCTACCAGAGACCATGTGGGGGTGAGGGCTCCGGAGCAGAAGGCGGCATGGGCCTTACGGCTGGGGTCCTGGGGTCCTAGAGTCCCTTACTGGTTTTGTGAGAGGATGAAAAAGACATGAGCATCTCTCTGTGTGTGTGTGTGTGTGTTAGGATCACCCTGTCACCCAGGCTGGAGTGCAGTGGCACAATCTTGGCTCACTGCAATCTCCACCTCCCAGGTTCAGGAGACTGTCCTGCCTCAGCCTGACAAGTAGCTGGGACTACAGATGCACACCACCACCCCCAGCTAATTTTTTAATTTTTGGTAGAGACGGGGTTGTGCCATGTTAGGCTGGTCTCCAACTCCTGACCCCAAGTGATCTGCCACACCTCAGCCTCCCAAAGTGCTGGGATTACAGGTATGAGCCACTGTGCCCAGCGGACACAAGCAACTTGAGGGGACCTGGCTCATGTATACACTCCATAAATAGCAAACATTATCATGATGATAATTGCTATATCAAAGGTCAAAACTCTACCCCAGGATTTTCCATCTGCTGTGTCCCTAAGAAATAACACTGTGTAACATAAAACTGAACACAACGATGCCTACCCAGCTGCAAGAGCGGCCTTGCCTTCAAAGATACTCCATAAGCTTTTTATGCTGACCCAAAAGGACCTAAAACACGGGAGAGCAGGGGCCTCGCCAGTCCTCTTGCTGGAGAGTGCCTGGCCATAGCAGGTGCCAGAGAATACCTGCTGCCCAAGTGAATGCCAGTATTGGCAGGATCCACGCCAAGGTCCCTGGATGCAGAGCTGAGGAACTGAGAGCTGGACAGAGCTGGGCCCGCCCCGGGGAAAACACAGCCCCGATCTGACCCAGAGCCCTGTGGGCGGGGGAGATGGGGGATGAACTCAGCCCAGAAAGCACCTTGGAGCACGGGACCTGCCCCTTCTACACCAAAACGATGCCCTGAGGTGCCCTGGGTTTTAAACTAGTTCCTGCTGAGTTGAGACCAATTGAGGCCCCTGAGTAGCCTCTTCCTCTGTGGGGCTTGGGCGGAGTACCCCAGCCTGGAAAGTATGTGGGGTCTTATGGAGAATTCACCCTCATGGAAAGGCCACAGACAGAGGCAATTCTCAGAAGGCTTCACCCTCAAGGCATCTGTCCATATAAGACACAGCCATGACCACTCATCCTGAAAGCCCAGTGCTGTCCAAGAGACCCACATGACATGCTACAGGGGTGAGGCATGGTCTGGGGGCCTGGGGGTGGTTTACAAACAAGGAGACCTTGAAAGGTGTGGGACTCCCTTCCATGTGGGTGCAGAACCTGCACTGTCATTCCCCAGGGAAGCACCAAGCAATGAGAGCAGGGCTCCATGAACTACAACCTCCATCCTTCCCAGTCTGGTCCACACCTGCTGAGCCAGGAGGAGGGACAGATGACCCAACACTGTGGCAACATCCAGTGTGGCCTGTGTGAGTCCCTGTGGGAATGAGTTTGTGTGTGGCCAGGATTAAGAATGAAAAAAAGGGATTAAAAAATTCCTCCTGGACCCAAGAAATGGACCTCAGTGTCCCTTAGTGACATCTTCTTACATCACACCTGCCCATGCCAGGGGTGGTACCTGCCTTCTCTATAAGCATGAGCAGTGCAAAAGTCCGGGATGCCACCTTCACTCTAGACTACTGTGCCATGCTGCATCCCCTCAGCTCCCAATAGAGCAGGCCGGAGGGTAAGGTGTCCCCAAACCCCTGGCATGGGCCCCTGTAGAGCTCTGGAAATGCTACTGAAGGAAGCAGCTCATTTTGCTCAACTCCAGTTTGGAATTTGGGGCTCAGTAAGCCTGTCCCTGTGGCACGCCCTTGTGCCCATCTTGCTTGGTGGCAGGCAAGTGTGAACAGCTGTAGGTTCACAGCAGGAGGCTTAGAGAGGCAGTGATGAGTGACATGCTGTGCAGATCCCAGACATGAACTTGGGGGCCAGGTTTCATTATAGGAGATGGTGCTCGGGGGTAGGAATCCTACCTCTGTCCCATGGGACAGCTTGGTGGTGCTGAGGCCGACTCTGTGGCAGGACATTTAACCCTCACCATCCCCTTGTGAGGTAGGGGGAGGCTGTTAACCTCATCTCCAGACTCTGTTCTTCCAGTTCCTCACTCCTCTTTCACATCCGCAATCAAACCAGCAGCAGGTTTCGGTCGCTCTGCTTTCAGAATACCCCTGGCAGGCTGCCCCAGGCACATCCCCTATCCCCGGGGTGACCATACGATCCCCTAAGTGCCTGTTCCATCAGCCACAACAGAGTTCCGCTCTCTGCTGGCTCCACATGGCAGCCAGAATCCCCCTGGCTGCAGCTTCTATGCGAGAGCTGCCCTGGCTTCCGTGCTGTTTCTCCAGGATACCAAATCCACGCAGCCTCAGGACCTTAGCACCTGCTGCGTCCTCTGCCTGGCTCACTGCCTCAGGTCCCCAATTCATGTCAAACCATCGTAGTGGTCTTCCCGGAGCACAAACAGCACATCCCCAGCCGGCCTCTTTTCCTCCGCAATGACTGTGATGTCCTTTCCTACTGTCCTCTCCCCGGTAATCACCACCCAACATACTCACGTCTCCTTGGTTCTTCAACGTCTGTGTCCCCCATCAGAACATCTGAGAGGGCAGACACTTTGTTTTATCTGCTGTTCAACTATCAGCATGGTAAGTACTTATTGGAGGAACAGATGGATGGAGGGCGGGGAACTGACCTTGTCATGTCCGCTCTCATCCTCCTAGGACTTTCATCTCCACTCCCAGCCCAGCCCTGGAGAAAACCAAACCAGCCTGATCTCACCTGTGACTGTTTCATGTTAATCCCTTTACTTTCATGTATTTTGAAAGCAATCCTAATCATTTATATTTAAAACTTCCTTTAATAAATGTTCTTGCATGGAAGGTAGCTGCTTAAATGTCTCTGTAATTTTCTCATCATGTTTTCTTAGTTTTCTAGTCAAAATAACAGCTTTAAGCACAGTGGTTCTAGATGGATTCAGAAATGAAGATTTTCCCTCTTTTTTTTTGGTAACTGTTTATAATTATCAGTAGATCAATCTGGTATTTCTGTTCTACCCGTGTTATCCTCTTGGGTTAGTGATACAGTTTGGCTGGATCCCCATCCAACTCCCAGATCTCATCTTGAATCCCCACATGTCATGGGAGGGACCCAGTAGGAGATGACTGAATCCTGGGGACAGGTCTTTCCTGTGCTATTCTTGCGATAGTAAGTCTCATCACTTGGTTTTATAAGGGACAGTTTCCTTGCACAAGCTCTCTCTCTGCCTTGTACCCTCCACTTAAGATGGGACTTGCTCCTCCTTCCCTTCCACCATGACTGTGAGGCCTCCCCAGCCACGTGGAACTGGGACTCCATTAAATCTCTCTCCTGTAAATTGCACAGTCTCAGGTATGTCTTTATCAGTAGTGTGAAAACAAATGAGTACAGTTGGGCAAAAGATGGAAAAGGGAGGTCAAGTTTTCCTCCATAGCAATGAGCACCTACTATGTGCCTGGATGCTTTATACTCCCTGCGTCAGCCCCCATCACTATGTTACCAGCTCGGGTTTATTAGCTCTGTTTTGTGGATGAAGAAATATAGGTGCAGAGAGGAGAATACATTGTCCAATGTTGCACAGGTAAGTAACAGACTGAGGACTCAAACCCAGGCCTGCTTCACCCCGTCGTGTGCACTGAAGTGCATTTTGTTTTGCAATGTTGGCATCGAGGTATTCAAACTACAGTCCCCACTGAAGCACACATTTGCCCTCAGTTGTCCGAATAAATATTAGTGGCCCCAAACACCTGGAATGCTCAGGGTACCCCACCCCCACGGCATAGGCTCTTCTCTCAAAGTGACTCTCAAGCAGAGGTGGTCACTGCCCAGGTGTCTGGAGAGTCACAGCAGGGATGTCTCTGTGCCGGCTTTGCTGTTGGGAGCTGAGCAAGGCAGCAGGTGCAGCAGGAGACCTGGCCTGGCATCTGCAGGGCTTGGCGGGCTCAGCTGAGGGACGTCTCTGCCCTGCCCACTGCAGCACCCCCCAGAGCGGGCTCTAGGTGTAGATTCCAAGGGCTGCTGTCTGCCTAGTGGCAAAAGCTGTGTTTCAAGGCTGCCTCTCCACCTCAGGTTAAAATCTGAAGGCTTCTCATCTCCTGGCACCAGCCACTCCCCTTAACTGGGAGTCAAAAGGGTGCGGAAAGGCCAGTCTAGACTGAGAGAACGGAAACAAACAGCCAGACCCTTGCTTTCTGTATGTCTGCATTCCAGAGGAAATGGGTTCCTCCGTCTATTCAAAGGTTCCTCTGTTAAGTCCTCTGCTGGCAAAGGCCCTGGTCACCCACTCCAACAGGACACAGTCTCACCACGGCTGCAGGAGGGGAGTCACCAGCACTCTATCCGTTCACAAGCCCTGGAAGGAACAGTCCCGGGGGTGGAGCCAGCTGGGAAGGGGGTCCGTGCACCTGGTGTGTGACAAAGGGTTGTTGCCATCTGTATGCACTGGGAGTATGTGACACCCTTGCTCTGGAGGGGGAAGGTCTTCCAAATTTAAAAAGGTCCACATGGCAAACCATTCAACAGTACTCTTTGGAGCTGCTTGAGAGCAGGGGCCCTTTCCCTGTTATTACCCACCGCACTCATTCCTTTTTGGTCCCAATCATTTTTGCTCCTCTGAGGGCTGGCAGAATGTCTGTAATTCATGGCTGTGCTAGGGGAGTGGGGCCTCACAGAGCTGGCTTCTGAAGCCCGAGTCTGCTGCTTCCTAGCTGTGCCACCTTGGACAAGTTCCTCAACCTCTCTGAGCTTCAGTTTCCTCATCTGGAAATATGGTGAACACAGGATGCTGATGATAACATCTAACAGTTATTGATTACTGATCCATTTGCCACAGGCCAGGGCTCTGTCGACACAGGCTGTCTGTAGGCATTTCCCCACAGTTCTTGCTGAATAAGTCAGCATGAAGCAGCAGGTAAGAGCTTGCGTTCTAGAATCCTGGCTCTGCAGTTTACCAGCTGTGCGACCCAGAGCAAGTCACTTCACCTCTCTGGGCCTAATCTTCCCCTCCTATTGAAGGGATGGTGAGGGGAGAGAACTAGAGTGATAGCTCTCTCAAGGGCTTCGTGAGAAGTAAATAGAATCTGGCATGAACCTGCGGATCCCAAGGCCTGACACGGAGTCAGAAATGACAACTCATTAAGAAATGCTTGCGGAACAAATGAATCCCTTAGTGGAACATTCTGGAGAATGTTCCTAAGCCACAAAATTCCCCACAGAAAAATGCCACTGAGACACCCCCCCCGCAACCATCATGAAATCGACTTCTTCAGAATAAGACAAGGTATAGAAAGAAACTTTCAAGTCCCTGTAGCTGACAGATACTTAATGTTTTACCAGACAAGCCCCATGACCCCTTCCACTCCCAGTCTCAGTATTGACTGTCGCTGCCTCATGACTCTGGGGTCCACCTTCCCTGACCATGCCTGCGTGTCAGGAGACACCCTTTCCCCTGTGGCCTGGAGGCCGTCTCAGAGTCTAAGGTCCTATTCAGGTAGACGGTGAGTTGCAATCTGGGTGTGCTAAGGAATCAGCTGTCATGGTTCTGGCCCTCGGCTGATGTGCACACCACCCCTTCCCATCCACCTGTTCTCAGGAATGGCACAGGTGAGGATGGTAGGACTATGGACTTCTTTCCCATAGCAGCCTTCAGCAACCAAACCTGCTGCAACACCTTTGCCCCTACACGTGACTCCTGTGGGCTTGCCATGTGATAAGTCAACTGGGTCTAGAGTCCAGGGCCTTTGAGTTTAACTCATGGCATGACCGTAGCTGAGAGCATTTCTCCCACCAGATGGGCTCCTCACTTATAACAAAAGCATGCTGGATTCCACCTTGGCCAATCCAGGATGAGGGAATACGCACGCTCTTGTAGTGTGGCAAGAAAATGTTCTATCACTGGCTTCTCTCTTTCAAATAGAAAGGTGTTCCTGTCTCATGGGCTGGGCCAAATCTTTAAAGCACCAGAGACAGCTTAGCAAATAAACTTGGAAAATCTCCTCCAGTCAAACCCACTCCAACTCCAGAATTCATTAATTCCCATGGTTAATATTTTCCAATATGACTGCCTTATAGAATGCAGGCTGGAAGCACGTCTGGATACAGATGGCATCAGCTGCAGAGTGCTGGGGCACTGCCCACTCCATTGGGGAGGATCAACTGGGACACATCACAGAAGTGTGATCTCGTGGCTCAGTGGGCGTGGAAGCCTGGGCCAAAGGTGTCACAAGCTTCTTACATAGCAGTTCGCTGGCACAGGTGGCTGTGGCTTCACTGACAGTTGTACACCAGACCCCGCAGCACGAGCATATGTTTGCCCACCCACCACCTCTCCTTTCAGGGAATCGTGTCCCCTCCTTCTGGAACGATCCTGTTCAGTCCATGAGCTTAGGCAGGCTGAACGCTCTACCCCTCTGCCCCAGATTTGGCTAATCAAGGTGCTCCATTCCCGGGGCCACAGGCATGGACCCAGATGGACGGATGACCCAAAGCTGTGCCAATCAGAATCTCCCTAGAATTTCTGATGCAGCTATGAGGAGCAACATGATGAATGAGATTTTTCCTAGGACTTTTGTAGGAGCTAGTGAGACCCTCATTCTTCAGGGCCTAGATCTAAACAGTCTGTAAGGTACACAGCTGCCAGGATCTGTCTTTCTATCAGATAGAACAGGCTTGAGAATGAAACCAACAAAGTATCTGAGCCTCTGAATCCAGCCATTCCGGAATCTAGCCTTGTCCCTGGACTTTCCAGTTACACGAGTAGTAAGTACTACTTTTCCACTTTAAGCTAATTTGAAGTGGGCCTCCATAGTTTTGCTAAGCAGAGTCCCTAATGACACATGCTGTTTCTGGGACCTCTAGAGATTCAGATATTTAGCATTTTTAAGTACCTCTCATGGTTCCACACACCTTATTAGATGCTTTTGTTTCACTTGCCCATTTAACTAATGGTTTGTTTAAAAAAAAACAGGCAGTGATAGTCTAGGGCTTATATGCACAGGATTTAAGAGTAAGAGACTGGAACCAACACCAGCCTGGCCCCAAAGTCCATGCTCCCAACACTCTGCCTTCAAACAGAGGTTTAAGAGTTAGACCCAACACCAGGTGCCGTGGCTCACACCTGCAATCCCAACACTTTGGGAGGCTGAGGCATGTGGATCGCCTGAGGTCAGGAGTTTGAGACCAGCCTGGCCAACATGGTGGAACCTCGTCTCTACTACAAATACAAAAATTAGCCAGGCATGGTGGTGGGCACCTGTAATCCCAGCTCCTTGGGAGGCTGAGGCAGAAAAATTGCTTTAACCCAGGAGGTGGAGGTTGCAGTGAGCTGAGATCGAGCCATCACACTCCAACCTGAGTGACAGATCGAGAGACTGTCTCAGGAAAGAAAGTCAGACCCAAGTTCAAACGGTAGCTCTCAAACTTACCAACTGTGTGATCTCAGGCAAGTTCCCCCACTTCTCCAGGTCTCAGTTTCCTCATCTATAAAATGGGAATAACAGTAGGTCCTACGCCTCTTAGAATTGAAGATTACATGAGACCCTGCATGGAAAAGGCTTAGCACAGGGCCTGACACCCAGCAGGAGTCCAGGCTGCATGGGCTGCATTGGAAATAGTGGATCAGTTTAGGGGATCCTTCTGGGAAGAGACAGTATTGCAAGGTTTGGACTAACTGCAAACTAGGGATATCTTTGCCAAACTAATTTTTTAAAAAAGAAAACAGAGGATTGCCACAAACATGAGCCCTTCTGGACTCATGAGACAAGCCAAATCTCCTGAAGTAGACCCAACATCACATGTGGGCCCTAGGATGTACCACAGGCAATCAGGAGAAAATAGCTGTTGGTTC